GCAGAAAATATATTCTTTTCTTCTTTTTGCTTTTGCAGTTTGGGAAATTACGTCTCTCTCCATGGACATTTTTACTGCCTACCCCATTATAAGCAACTTCTCAAATCCAAAGGAATCTACGACAGTGGTCTTGGACAAAACCATCCTGGGGGAAGCACTGGACCAAACCCCCTTGAAGAAAAAAATAATTTGAGATATTCGATGCATAATTCAAATTCCGTTGATAAACCCCACAGAGTTGAAAATGAAATGACAAAAACATTTAATAAAAGCCAGCAGCACTGCAACAAAATAACCATTGTTTGGCCCCCACAGGGCGAACCACCAAAGAAAACCTTTAGTATAGAGGAAGACATTCAGCTGATAAAACCACAGTGGCCCCCTCCAGACAGCTCCCCCATGTCGCCCGATCTTCAACATAGAAAGGCTGTTCCCAGAAGTGTCCTTTGAAATGTGATTTTTCACTTTCAGATTGTAGTCAAATATGATAAAATATATATAAAAGGACTTATGGATAATGTAAGACTGTTGTTGGTACAGTTAGGAAAGTGTTATGCTGAAGGTCAGATTAAGTTAAGTGGGTTAAGTAATGTAAGAAAAGCAAGAGTAACTATCAGGAGCGGAAAGGAAAACTGTATATATATGTAAATTGTGAGAAAAAACGGGGTGTATTTGTAAGTGGAGGAAAGGTAAATAAAAGTGCAGAAAATATGTAAAAGGTGGATTTAGAAGATTTTTTTTTTGAAGATTATTCTCTGTGTCAGTTTAAAGTTAACTGCAGTGTTTGGTTGGTTTCCGATGATAGGCAGTTGTCCTGCTGTCAAACCATTCAGCATTTAACTTATGATCATTACAAAGTTATAATTAAATCATTCAGCTCAGTGCTGTTTTCTTCTAAGATTTATGTATCTTATTTACAAACTAATTCCACATCCATAAAATTTAATCTCTCTTTGTTTCCTTCAATTTTGTATTATTTCAGCAGGTCCAGCTATTAACAGAACATTTTTAAGCATTAGTATTTGCACCTGGTGTGCTAGAATGAAAAAAAACTTAATAATATATTATTTATAACAATGAAAGTATATAATATAATTGAATTAATTGAGAAGTGTATCCTACATTGAACTGAATATATTTTACATTGAAAAATGTGTATTTTTTAAAATAGACGGTTTACTTTCCTTTGTAAGAGAGCTTTTCTGATTGTGTCCTGGTCTCAGGCTGCTTCATCTGAAATATTGCTGATCAAAGGGCAATAAAATGTTAATTCCTAATGTTTTGTTTTGTTTGTCTGGCATGTTTAGTCCTGTCTCATAGTTGTTCTTTGCACTTGCAGTTTTGTTAGGCAGCTGTATACCATTAGTTTCTTTCTTATGGTCTCTGTATCCAAAGCCTCAAACCTGTCCTCATGTTTGGTCAGCTATCATGATCATGGTATGCTAGAATCCCCACTTTATGTATTGTGTGTCATAATTTAACCTTTTTTTGTCATTTTGATGCAACATTAACACAAAAATGATTTACTAACTATTACAATTGAGCTTGCAATCCAGAAATTAAGGCACAGTGGACACCATCAGTCAGCTAAATGCAAATACCAGTTCAAATAATAATGAGTCCAAGTCTGCACAAGTCTGACCAGTGCTTAAGTGGATGGGAGATACTTAAAGGAAAGGTATGATTGCCTTAAAAAAAAAAAAAAAAGTCTAGATCTATTTACCCATAATTCAATTCAATTCAGTTTATTTATATAGCACCAATTCACAACACATGTCATCTCAAGGCACTTTACAATTCAACCAAATTATACAGTCAAATTGATTCAAAATGTTCTAAGGAAAACCAGTTGATGGCATCAATTTATTGACTCAAAGATTTGTGCACTGAGCTAACAGTGGAGAGGGAAAACACTTCCTTTTAAAAGTAAGAAACCTCCAGCAGAACCAGACTCAGTGTGAGTGGCCATCTGCAGAGGCTGACAGGGGTTCAAGGAGACAGATGCAGACATACAGAAAGCAGCAGAGATACAAAAGTCAACTGTCAACCAGCTGCACAGGTGGCCCCATCCAGGAAACACACAGCCAGGCAGATGAGCTCTGAGACAGCTCCCATGTCAGAGGATGAAGAGAGCACATCAAGCCAGTCACAGTCAGAGAAACAGGACTACACTGAAAAACAGGCCAATCTCGAATATCTATACACAGAGGGGTTGATGGCAGCAGCACAGCTGATATTTCTGTCCAGGATGGCATGACAGCCAAACAGAAACAGACCAGATGAAATGACTATGATGAAAAAGCAGAGAGAGCATTGCACTAGAGATTGAACAAACAAATTCTGCAGAGTGAGAGAATAAAGATAGAATGGAGCAGAAATGAAAAAGGGTCCTCCAGCAGTCTAAGCCTATAGCAGCATAACTATAAAGATAGCTCAGGATAACCTGAGCCACTCTAACTATAAGCTTTATCAAAAAGGAAAGTTTTAAGCCTACCCTTAAAAGTAGACAGGGTGTCTGCCTCACAGACTAAAACCAGTAGTTGGTTCCACATGAGAGAAGCCTGATAACTAAGATATCTGTTTCCAATTCTACTTTATTAATTTTAAGGTCCTAACTCTGGGTTTTTTTTTTAGTAATGCCTTCTTTGACAAGTACACACAAAAGTAGGAAGTGTCAAACACTCACTTTGATAGACAGGTTAATATAATATAATTATCAGTAGTTACAAGTAAGGGTTTGGTATTTGTCATATTTGGTGAAGTTGGAAAAGGGCCAAGGCAAAGACTTGAATATTGAGGAAACCACAATGTTACTGAACTGAGGGAAACAACAAGGACACCGAATCTGGGCAGAGAAACAGAAGATTTCAGCAACAATGGTCCATAAACCAGAAATCTAAATACAAAAAAGTCTTAATTGATATTATGGAAACCAGGTGAGTACAAAAAAAGGTACAAAACCATAAACATCTGTGGATCATGGCAGGATTAAATAAACAAAGAAATTTAATTATGCTTTATTAAATTTAAACAGAAAATCATAAACCTTTGCAAAGAAGTTGCATCTTTCACTATACACACTCTATATTAATGTATACAAAATACCTTGATCAATATATAGTTATCACATTTTAGTGTTTCTGACTCTGCAAGAAGTAAAGCAAAAAATATAAATAATGGGAAGGTAATAAACCAAGTGGCTAGTGATGAGTAAGGAGGAGTAAGTGATGTTTGAAAGTACATTGCATGAATGCAAAAAAAAAAACAAAAAACACACACACACACACACACACACACACACACACAACAAAGCCCACGGTGAGTAAACAAAGGGGCTCATGACAACCTGTACAAAAAAAAAACAAAAAACACTGACACTCAGTGTAGACATCTAGTGCATACATAAATGTCAAAAAGAAATACACACAAACAAAGATGAAACTTATCTGTAAAAAGAAAGCTGCAAAATAATTTGTTGGAAACTTTCACGTTTTAACGTTGACTTTATACCTGGCTAAAAGATGTGATTCTGAAAGACAAATGCTTCCTTTCATCAGTCCCTGGTTCTATCAATGCACCAGATTTATGTGTATTTTTAAAGAAATCCTAGATTGGTGCACTGAAAAGGAAGACCAAACAGATACAGTCATGGACTGTAAAAACAGTTAAATGTATGTTTCCAACAAAATAGAGACAAAATATACTTGGCAGGATTCGTTAGTGGATTGTTGATCCAAAGCAGAGGCAGGAAGGCAGAGGTGAATTTCTAGTTGATTTAATGATGAATTTTAAATAGGAATTGAAAACAGGCAGGTTATCCAAATAACCAAAATGAAAACCAAAGTCCAAATAAACAGGGAAACCAGGAATCAAAAAATCAAAAAGAAAACAAAGTCCAAACAAACGTAAAACCAGGAGTCCAAAGTCCAAAGATCAAAAAAAATATCAAAAGACAAGTCTAAACATACCAAAAAACCATGGTGACATCAGGGGAATCAAAATCACAAGGAGGGAGGCTCAGAGAGACGAGTAGGAGGAAGTATGACAGAGTTAGACGAGGACCTAGCAAAAAGGAACTAAACAGCAAGAGTATTAATAGGAGACAGAAACAAAGAGAGGGCTAATGAGCAAACTGGTAGCAGGTGTGCACAGAGCAAGAGAGGAAAAGAGCTAGGGAAAAAGAACAAAAGAGGGCAGCAGAGGGGAAAAAATGAAAAACCTGGAAGACTGGAAATAACTAGAAAACTCAACTAAATAAAAATTAAACCACTAACACTAGAAAACAAGGAGCAAAGCAAAACTCTAAAAAGAAAATAAACCGAAATAAGACTAGGACAGTAACTGAGAAAAAACCAAAGAACACAATAAACTAAGAATTAAGCCATAAAAACTAGGAAACAAGGAGAAAAGTAAAACTGGATACTCAAAAGAAAAACATGACAGAATACAGAAACCTAACAATACTGGCAAAATGCAACAACAAATAGTCCTACTCCTATTAGAACTATAAGAAAGTGTAAAAAGTCAAGGTGCTGGTCAGCTTCTTTAGAAACTTTAAAAGTCCTTTAAATATTGAAATGCATTTTCCATAATCTGGTAAATTGGCCAAAGCAGTAAAACTAAATTTATTTATTTTGCAAATCTGTCTATTGTTATTATTGTTTATTGTCATGATTATATATAAGATTATATACTAATATTTTGTTTTGCATCATTTTTCACATCTTCTAAAAAAAAAAAAAACATAGTTACTTTCTCATCAACCATGATTATAACCAAACACTATGTTCTCTTAGTGGGGCTGTGACATTTGAAGCGCATGGTGACTGAAAACAGCTCGCATGGGCTGACTATAAATTCTCACACAGCGTCAATCTACCTTGCTACTATGACTGCAGCCGAGCGCACCCTTCACTTTCTCCACTTGAGTGGATTGGTGAGGAATTTATCGGATTACACTTTGATTGGTCGGCGCGTCAGCCTTGCGCACCAACGTCATGATTCTGTCCCCCACCACCTCTGTCAGCAGCAAAGCCCGGGGATGCTGAAGCAGAGCAGAAACGTATCGGAAGCGACACCAGTGTGAGTAGGATGAGGACTCAGGGTGAGGTAGGTGAAGCAAGGATGGTTATTTTTAAACCCTTTCCAATGCAGCGTGTTCAGGCGCTGTTTGCGCTTTTGTATCTTGGATTGCAGTGAGGCGGGATGGTCTTACTTTTGAAAGAATTCTGCAGGGTGGAGGGGATCTATCCATCCGTCCTCTGCTCATGTGTCCTTCCTGGTCTCTTTGCGCACAGACGCATCATTTCGGGCGTCTCCTTTGTGGCGCTTTTGATCTCTGCTTATGTGCGTTAGGGTCATACCCATCTGGGTATTTAGATGCAGCTACTTAGACTCAATCCGCTGTGAGCTCACACTGATCTCTGTCCTATTTGGCAGGGCTGCCACCTCTGCGCTCCCCGTTAGATCTGCGGAGGTTGTCCAGCTGAGCGATAAGGACAGGAGCTGCATGGTGTTAAATATCATACTTAAAAAAAATACAAGAGCAGTAAGGACATCTTGCCCTTTTCCTGTATCCAAAACGTGCTAAGTTAAAACTTTTTCTTATAGTAATGATTATTATTAAACCCCACAGAATAAAATCAGTGCTGTGCTGGCAGCTGTACTGGTTAAGAGTCTGTCGTGGAAAAGTTTAGACTTAGGGGGACAAGTGCAACAATTCTTTTCTCTTTTACATATAATATTCAGAAGGCAAATTTATTATTTGATGACTTTGGGGGAAAAAAAGCATAATGCTCTAATTTGAGATATATAGAAGATGTTTATGAAAATATGACTAAAGGTTGCATTACATCGGACTTCACATTTAAGCAATTTTTTATTTCAATTTGTATTCTATATTATGTTTTTAAACTTTTATGAACCTTGTTGTCAATGTGTTGGCTTTCACTTGTGAGATTAATACAATTCAAAACAAAGAGAATACTGTAACACGGAGCAAGTGTCTGGTTAACATCCAGCAATAGAAGAACTTGCTGGCCTTTGTCAATGCAGATGTGGATGTATTAACTGTATGCTACTAAAGCATTTGTTCACACCAGGATTTCGTGCATGTATGTTAGTATGTGCTTACTGCTACTGCTCATGCTAATCACTTTTCTCCACGTCTACTGTGTGTAAATCCTTAATCCCTGCTTTAAGGTACAACATCTCTGCTTAGTCAGTGTTGTCTGCCATGTTGAACTTGGCTTACAATCTGTAATTAATTAAGAGGATGTTAGTATATTTTATTTTTAAATTAATTTTTTTGAATAAGTATTGCTGAAAAAGGAGAAAGTTAGTCGGGTCAAAATGATCTCTCAGATTTTATTACCTGTTTTTAAAGGGTTTATTAATTCATAAACACTGTTTAATTTTGAAACTCTCAATTCTATTATTCATACTATTATAAATAATCTACATGAAAAAATACATTGTATTGTATTGTATTTACACAAAAACAGAAGGAATTTTCAATTAATTGTGAGCTGTCTACCAATGATCCCTTTGCCTAGCTGTTCATTCAATAGACTAAACTAAATTAGCATTAACTTTATTTTTTATTGCTATTTTTTTATTTGGAAATGTTTAACTCTCTTTAAATTTAGAAACCTAAATATACTTTGAAGAAAATGTTCCTTAACAGCTAAGATGATAATTGGTTTTTAAGCATTGGTAGATTTGCAGCATATGACTTAATTAGAGCCCTATCTGTGGATTATTTTTATGACACAACCTCAATGACATTGCATCATGAAAATAATATCTAAAAGAAAACAGCCAACATATCTGGTTTATCCATAAGTCCCAAGTTGCTTGAAGGTGCCAGGTTCATTCTCACAAGCATAAACATGTCCAGCTATCATATCATCATACAATTAACATAGGATATGGGTTCTGTGTACCAGAGATGAATGTGCTATTATAGACTTAACACAATAATTTAGCTCTAAAATTGTTGTTGTGCTGGTGTGTTATTTTTAACGAAAGAAGAACTGGTGTTTTTCACAAAAACATACATCACTGTAAAAAAAAAAAAGAAACAAAAAAAAAAGAAAAATTTGACTGCTTTAATCATGGCACTTAAAAACCTAAATATAAACCTGACTTATAGGCTATACACATTCTTCCTGTTTGGAGTAATTTACCAAAATTGGAGCATACAATTGTAGGGAGTCCTGGAAGAACACTGAAAACATTTGAGACAAGTCACATAGTACAAAAAAACAACTCCTCCAAATATTTGTAAAATGTTTGTAAACCTAAGAATTTGAAGTTCAAACAAAATGGAATCACTCATTATTCTGGCATTTAGAAAATAAAACAGGCTATGTAATCCTGACTGACCTAATACAGGCAATGTTTAGTTTGATTAAATGTCAGACAGTGACGAAAACTATATCATGGTTTGATTAATACTCTAAATGCAAATATCTGATTTTATATCATTGTTATCACAGGCATGGGCCACCCTTAGACCTTTGTTTTAGTGTGTTGATTTTACTTACAGCTGTTAATGATACTTTTTTTTTAAGTTACAGTAAAATACTAGCTTATGTTTTTTCTCCTTTTTGTTTTATAGTATATCAGTGTTTGGTTGGCATTATGGCAGTTTGTCAGATTGTGGCGAGTGCATTTTAGCTTCCATTAAGATTGTATAAAGCTTCTAAACTAAATGGTCAGCTCACTACCTGAAGTTCAATTGTTGAACCAGTTCCCATTCCCAGCAGTTGATAAAACATTCTTGAATGGTGATGAATTGCACCTCACCAGGAACTCGCTGTATTTTGTTTTGCTTTTTTTTTTTTTTCTTGAAGTTCGCATCACCAGAAAGTCGTCACCTATAGATTCGTCACTAATGCCATTGTTTAATTTTTAACGAGTCTCTGGAAACCCTTGATAAAGGTATGCATGAAAAACATCTAGAGAAATGTCCAATTAGTTTTTAACTGATAAAGATCAGTTTAGTCCAAATACAATTTATTTTGAACAATTAGGGATTTTACAATTACCTCCAACAGGAGAAGTTGGGTGATGAACAGTAAAGATAATAAACTCTATTTTAAATTGAAGAAATCTCAGGAGAGCCAGAATTATTAGCTATAGCTCTTTCCGCTAATATTGAGGGTATGAAAAGACAAAAAAGGGATATAAACGTACACAATTCCCTTAAGTCGGGGTTATCTGCTGTTTGATAACACATAAATGGAAACACAGAATTACTGAAAAGAATAGCATCAGAAAATGCATAAAAGAAAAAAAGTGAGTTGTTTATACAAGCCCAGAGGATGAGGTGTGGTCTAGCCGGTCGGCTGCCAACAAGACGAGACAAGAGTCCCAGACGCTGATGTCTCGAAGATCGGAGAACAGGCAAGAGATCAGAACCGAGCAGACGAAGGAATGCAAGATAATCCAGAGGGCAAAGTCTGTGTTGAGGATGTGTACAGGAGTCCGGGGCAGGAGATTAGAGGTCCAAAGAGGTGCCGAAGGGAAATCCAGAACGGAGTTGGGAAGCAGTTTCAGGTTTGGTACACAGACAGGCAGAAATTCAGAAGGCATCCAAAGACAGTTCAGGTAAACAGATCAGAACGGGGACAGGCAGGCTCAGAGGTCTGGAGGCAGAACAGATCAGGATCAGGCAATCAGAAAACACAGGTAATCTGCAGAACTCTAACCAAAGGCTCAAATAATCTGGCACTGATGACTGGCCTGAAGGCTGGTTAAATGAAGGCTAAAGCAGGTGGTTCAGATGAGCGGTAATGAGAACTGGGCAGAGATAAACAGGTAAATAGAATGAGTAATCAGACCAGACAAAGGGGAAAAGATCATGACCCTTTACTGTGTTCTAGGTCTTGAATAGTACATATGAATTAGGATAAGTGATGTGAAACTCATAGTACTGCATTGAATCACCAATATGTTTCTTTTAGGTGTTATGGTGTCTTATTTTCTGAGGTTTTTTTCATGTTTAAACCAAAACTTTGTATGTTGAGAAATATGAAAGGTTTTTTCAGGTCCATATACTGCACTTGGAACATACTGCTCTCCTCAAAACATGCATTCGTAACTTGAGGGGGTCAGCTCTATCACTGAATGAGTCATGTGACCCAGAGAACAACTTTACGGCATTTTTAGTGTCCCTTAAATAGAGTTAAGTAAACAAAACATTGTTAAACATATACAGTATAAGACTTATCTGATCAGACAAAGGTTTTATTCTCTGATGTAGTATTTGATCTACTGTAGAGGGGTAAATGGGGTCTATCATCTATGGTGCTGTCAGATTACAAAATACGGACTGAGGCTGTTTCCTTTTTTAACAGTACATTGTTACCAGTAGCTTCCTTAAGCCTGGAAGTTACAGGTCTAGGGTCCTCAGTGCCAACGGCTGCACAGTGTTGGTAGTAAAGGGCTCATAACCTGGCATTTCACAAATACAATACTTCTGAAATTGACTTTGAATTCATGTTAATTATATTTAGGAGAAAAAAAATTAACAGAGCTCATTCAGACGTCTTTCCATACCCATTTATTTTTATCTCACAACATCATGCACAAGAAGTTGACTTCGGTGTATGCACACTTAGGTAAATGTAGTATTACCATAGTTTTCAGATCTCTTAGGGAAAAAAATTAATAAGTAAGAGCACTTACCAACTTGCAGGTGAGGAGCTGATTGTTGGAATCACACCTTTTGGTGAAATAGAGACAGGAGTGGTTATAGCAAGATGGGCTAATGTTAGAGCACTTCTAGTATTGGCATCAGCTGAGACAAACCAGAGTGAATAATTGTGGGCTTTTCTCGTTTACACAATGAGCACAAACACACACACACACACACAAAAAAAAAAACACTATCTGGAAGGTTTTAATTGATTTTATTCTTACATGATAAAGTATGATTTTTAGGTGATCACACATTTGATGACCCACCTTTGTTTTTATGCTAATTATGATTTGTTGTTTTGCCAAAAGACATGTCCATAATCCTCCTGATTTTACATGAGAATCATGATGCAGGGATTTTCCCTTAACAATGAGAGGAATACTTTTCTTTTTTTTAAATAACT